ATACATATACATATATATATACATATACATACATATATACTCAACAACAAAAGCTACGCAAGTCATATAGTTACTTAAAGACGGGGGTGTTTAATAACCCACATTCGCTAGAATGTAGGCCATGGCAGATTTTTTTTATTCAGTAATGTTGTGAGCTCATGTCACCAAGCTGAAAAATGCTTTAAGTATAAAATGAGGTCACAATATGGCGACAAAGAAAAAAATGTAAACCGAGTATTTTCTTGAGAATGCCAGTTGGTGAGCAGTTTTTATCCTCTGAAAAGTGTTCACCCGACCGAGGGGTATAAATTGGCAGGACGTAACGCTTCCTTCAGTCGAGTGGTTTAAGCCAGCGACCATGCCACAACTCATCAAAGCAGACCGAGAAAGGGCTATCGGCAGATTGCAAGCGGGAAAGAGTCCAAAATATGTGTCTATAGCCATGGGTGTGTGCCTCTCAGCAATATGTCCACTCCGTAGACGTTTTCAAGTTACTGGAAGCACTCATGATGCGCACAGAACTGGCCATTTACGAGTGACGTCAGTACGCCAAGACCGTGCCCGTCTGCGAAATAACCTGCGAGACAGATTCATGTGTACTGTCGAATCGACCCAAAACCTCGTTGGAAATCATGGGAAGCCATAGCAAGTCAGACGGTGTGCTGCCGGTTTCGAGAAGGACAACTGCAATGTCGTCGACCTTTGAGACGTGCAGTCCTCTCTGCAAAACATCGGCAACAACGTTTGGCGTGGGCTCAGCAACATGTGAACTGGACCTGGCAACAATGGAGAAATGTCCTATTCACTGACGAAAGCCGTTTTTTTTTTCTTTGGTTAGTGTTTTACGGCGCTCGGAACTACATAAGGTCATATGAGCGCGCGGGACACACCTAATACATTTTTGTTGGTAGGAAATTTTGAATTTTTGTCCGGGTGGCGGCCGAAGCCTACTCTTATCGATTTTAGACCACCAAGGGATCTTTAACGGACGCAACTTGCTCACGGGCCCTCCTAAATTTTTTGCCCTTGTCCGAGACGGCTAGGTGTAGATCTTTCCTACCAGAAGATCAGGGGTGTGGCAGAAAGATAGCTGTAAGAAGAAGCCAAGGAGTAACAGTAGAAAGGCTGCAGAAAGAGTCAGGAGCCCAGAGGAGGGGGCAAAGGAGGTGAAGGGGTGGGGGCTGAAAGAGGAGACGAGAGCAGACGACAAAATATTGCTAGAGAGCAGGAAAGGAAGTGAAAGGAGACAATTTTAGAGAAGAAAATGTTTCGGTCGCTACCCGGATTCGAACCCGGGACCTTTGGATGAGAGGCCAACACCTTAACCTCTAGGCCACGAGAGCCCCCAAGCCGTTTTTTCGTAAGTCGAGGAGATGGAAGAATCCGGATCTGGAGAATACTCAACCAACGGTTTGCTCACAACAACGTCCTTCAAGTCGATGCATGGGGTGGTCCCCACATAATGATCTGGGATGCAATCGGCGCGCTCATATGACCTTAGCATTTGCGAGCGCCGTAAAACCCTGTACTACATACATACATACAAACCCGTTGTTTTCCAGAACATTGGACCTTGTCAAGGTAACGGTGTTAATGCAAAGAGCTACATCCAACAGGTACTGGCGTCTGTGATCATACCTCATTTCCAGCAACACGCGAACTTTATCCTGCAGCAGGACAATGCTTGACCCCATACTGCAAGAGCTACAGCAGCCTTCTCACAACAGAACAACGCCAGGGGGCTGCAATGGCCCTCAATGAGCCCAGACCTCAACCTGATCGAACACTACTTGGACCACATCCAAAGAGAACTGAATCGCTTTCAGCCAAGACCAACAAAAGCACTTCAGCTGCAGCGAGCCATCCCACAAATTGGTGCAAATGGGAACATGGTCATCATTCATAGACTTCTGAGGTCAATGGCAAACAGATGCCAAGCTATTGTGAACGCAAATGGCTGGCACACACGCTATTGATTCAAAGTTGACGTCACCGACTGATGGACATATCCTTTAACTCCAGCACATCGTGTTTCCCAGCAAATTCAAATTGTTTTCTCTCCAACGGGGCTGTTAAGCGTTACAGAGGAATCCTCTTCACTAAATGTGACAAAAAAATCAATAATTTCACAAATTACTTACTAACGTTTTTATCTTTCTTTATTTTGTATACCACTTGCGTTTCTTTTGTTTATTGAGTATATTTATTTAGTTAGGTATTCATTTATTATATAAGGCTTAAGGATGTATACATGTCATCGCCTCAGAACTATTAATTTGTCCAAAGTGCGCTTCACTGTAGAGTGCACTTTAGATAAGATTATAGTTACTAGTTCCAAGGTGACGATTTTATAAACAAACAATTTCTTTGAGAGAATTACTCATTCAGTGAGCCTGGCAACTGTAATGTGCACAACAATTGGCCAGTCACGTTGTATAGATGAAGTTTTACCGAGGAGAGGTACTCGGATGACGGAGTCTGGGCCGCCAAACAATAATCCCCCCTCCCCCTTTTTAATCACCCCGGCCACACACTGCGTTCTGTAATTATGCTATTGTTACCATTTGGCACAGTTTCCCTCTTCACTTAGCCTTATGCAGTCTTCTGAGAAGTGCGACGAGATCTTTTGATTACTGCCAGGAATGTGTATGCTATGTTCTGTGCATGTAGCTTTAGATCTATATTTTAAGTACACTGTTGTATCTGATTCTAACTTGATCTGCACGGGACAGCGTCATTTAATTTTTGCGGTATCAATTATTTCTTCAGACTATCTTAATTCTATTTAAACTCTTTAAGATTATGTCGATACGTAGATGTTTTAGAACCCAGTAGGCATTTTGGTGTGTGTGTGTGTATGTGTGTGTGTGTGTGTGTGTGTGTGTGTGTGTGTGTGTGTGTGTGTGTGT